ATATTAGGGGCTAGAGTGGGAGGCAAATGTTTTGAGAATGATGAGGGCAACAAATGTGCATATGTGCTTGACACAATGGATGTATATATGGATTGTGATGAGAACTGTACGAGCCCCCAATAAAATAATTTAAACAAACAAACAAAAAAACCCAGTGGTTCTCAACCTTCCTAATGCCGGTGACCCCCAACCATAAAATTAATTTCGTTGCTACTTCATAACTGTATTTTGCTACTGTTATGAATCGGCCTACCCCTGTGAAAGGGTTGTTCAACCCCCAAAGGGGTCACGACCCATAGGTTGAGAACCACTGCTTTAAAAGGTCTTGTGTAGTAGATTTACCAAATGCAATGCATCCTTTGATCTTCTGATTGCTATTTCCATAAGCATTGATTTTGAATCCATGTAAGACAAAAATCTTTGATAACTTATAAATGGATAAATCTGTTATCCATTTGTCATGATGTACCTACTGGTCCAATTGTGAGGACTTTGGTTTTCTTTATATTGAGTGGTAATCCACGTAGAAGGCTGTAGTCCTTGATCTTCATCAGCAAGTGCTTCAAGTCCTCCTCACTTTCAGCAAGCAAAGTTGTATCATCTGCTTATCACAGGTTGTCAGTAAGCCTTTCTCCAATCCTGATGCTGCATTCTTCTTCATATAATCCAGCTTCCTTACTTGCTCAGCATACAGTTTGAGTAAGTATAGTGAGAGCATACAAACCTGATGCACACTTTCCCCAATTTGAAACTATGCAGTATTCTCTTGCTCTGTTCACACACCTGCCTCTTCAGCCATGTATAGGTTCTGCATGAGCACAATAAAACAAAAACTCCCTGCCATCAAGTTGAAGCTGACTCATAAGGACACTACAGGGCAGGGTAGAACTGCTCTGCTGTTTCCAATACTGTCATTCTTTACAGGAGTAGAAAGTCCTGTCTTTCTCTTGCTGAGTTGCTGATGGTTTCAAACTGCTGATTACAGCCAATGTATAAACATTATAGTGCTCTGGAATTTCCATTCTTTTTAAAAAAATCATTTCATTGGGGGCTCGTACAATTCTTATGACAATCAATACATCCATCCATTGTGTCAAGCACATTTGTACATTTGTTGCCATCACCATTCTCAAAACATATGCTTTCTACTTGAGCCCTTGATATCAGCTCCTCATTTTCCCCTCCCTCCCCGCTCCCGTTTCTCATGAACCCTTAATAATTTATAAATGATTATTTTGTCATATCTTACACCGTCCGACGTCTCCCTTCACCCACTTTTATGTTGTCCACTCTTTTCAAGGCCATTCATAGTTTACTATGGTCCACACAGCCTAATACCTTAGCATAGTCAATAAAACACAAGTCCACATCTTTTGGGTATTCTCTACTTTCAGCCAAGATCCATCTGACATGAGCAAGGAAATCCCTGGTTCCACCTCTTCTTTTGAATCCAGCATGAACCTCTGGAACCTCCCTGTCAAAGCACGGCTAACAATGAAACTAAACCTACTAGTGATCATGAAGATGGTGCCTGACTGGACAATGTTCTGCTCTGTTATACATAGTTTGCCATGACTAGGAGTCAACTCAGCGCCAAGGAACTGTAAAAGTTTAGGCCAACATAACTTTAATAATACACAAAAGTTATCTTGTTCTATCACTTCTCCTCCTAACCTGATGAGATCTGATGAGGTATGCAATAACATCAAAAATATCACTCATGAAGAAAATACATCACTCATGAAGATAGCAAAAGGTCATTGAAGGCAGAGGGAAGAAAAGATCAATGTGGATGTCAGAAGAGACTCTGAAACTTGCTCTTAATCATCGAGTAGCTAAGGCAAATGGAAGAAATGATGAATTCAAATAACTCAACAGAACATTTCAGAGGGCAGCCTGAGAAGACAAAGGAAAACATTATAATGAAATATGTAGAGACCTAGAGTTAGAATATAAAAAAGGAACAACATGCACAGAACATCTTAAACTGAAAGAACTCAAGAAAAGAATTCCAATATTGAAAGAAAAAATTCAAGTGAGGATATTATAACTGATCCTACAATAAAAAAGGATTATAATAGAATAACAGGTAAAAGAGACAAGTTAGAAACTAATAAATTTCATATAATGACTCAAGAAGACCTAGAAAATCAACAAATTAATAATGAATATATACAATTAGTATTTTTAAAACTACTCAAAAAGAAGAGTCGTGGACTAGATGGCTTCACTGGAAAAATCTACCAAACATTAAGAGAAGTGATCTCAATCTTTTTAATATCTTCCAAGATATAGAAATACAGGATTACTGCCTAATCCATTCTATGAGGCCAGAATTACTCTGATATCAAGGTCAATGATACAGCAAGATAAAAACAACAACACAGAAGAATTAGCCCTTAAATATGTAGATGTGAAAGTCCTCTACAAAATACTAGAATGTTGAATCTAAAAGTATAAGACTAAATAGCAAAATTAAGAGGAATTTATTGAAGGAATATTTGTTATGTTCAACAAAAGAAAACCAGTCATTTTAATATACCACATTAGTAGAACAAAGCTAATAAACCACGTAATCAGTTAATTGGTGCAGAAAATGCATTTGACAAATTGCAACATTAGTTTCATGTTTAAAAAACACCCAAACAAGCTAGGAAAAAAATTAAGGATATACACTCTCACAATTGGTACCCAATATCTCACTAGAAGTTCTAGTCTGAACACTTAGGCAAGAAATAAAAGGATCTAAATCAGGCAGAAAAACTAAGTCTAACTATCTTTTTTCCACAGGTGACATAATTTACCCAAAAATGACCTTAAATAATAAATAATAAATTAAGGTTGTTAGTACCATTGAGTTGGTTCTGACTCATAGTAACCTATTACAACAGCTAGAAAGACCACCCAGTCCTGCGCCATCCTCACAATTATTATGTTTCAGCCCATTGCTGCAGCCACTGTGTCAATTAATCTCATCTAGGGCATTCCTCTATTTTGCTGCCTCTACTTTACCAATATGCCGTCTTTTGCCAGGGACTGGTCTCTCCTGATACATGTCCAAAGTATGTAAGACAGTCTTGCCATCCTTGCTTCTGAGGAAGATTCTGGCTGCACTTCTTCTAAGACATATTTCTTTGTTCTTTTGGCAGCCCATGATAATTTTACTATTCTTTGCCAGCACCATAAGTCAGAGACATCAATTATTCAACCCCATTCATTGTCCAATTTTCACAGGCATAGTGACTGAAAATACCATGGTTTAGGTTAAGTTCTGAAGATTAAAATGTAACAATCCTTGAAAGGGCCCTCAAATATATTCACATTTTCATTCTCAAAACTTTATATGGCAGATGTGACTTAGAATCTTGAAATGGAGAGATCATCCTAGATTATCCAGGTGGGTTCCAGGGAACCACAAAGGTCTTTATAAGCGAAAGGAAAAGGGGATAAGAGAATGGAGAAAGATGCTGGATGGATGCAATTTCTGGCAGGAGGTCATAAACCAGAGAATGTGGACAGCATCTACAACAGTGGTTCTCAACCTTCCTAATGCTGCGACCTTTTAATACAGTTCATTATGCTGTGGTGACCCCCAACCATAACATTATTTACGTCGCTACTTCATCACTGTCATTTTGCTACTGTTATGAATCAGGAGACCCCTGTGAAAGGATTGTTCAACCCGCACAGGGGTCACGACCTAAAGGCTGAGAACTGCTGCTCTACAAGCTAGAAAAGACTAAACAGATTTTTCTCTGAGCACTACCAGTAGAAAGGCAGCCCAATGAACACCTTAATTTTAGCTCCATGAGACCCTTTTTGGACTTCATTCCATATCTATAAGATAATAAATTTATGTTGGCATTTGTGGTCACTGTTTGTGGCAATTTCTTAAAGCAGAAGTAGAAATGAATACAATTCCAAAGAAAGATAGTATGAGAATAAAAGAAAACAATTTCAACTCCTGCCTCATTCTATACATAACTAAGCTTGTGAAGCTTCTAGAAGAAAACCGGAATATATCTTCATTACTTTGAGTAGGCAAGATTTTTTAGTGGCAATGAAAGCATTAACCATAAAGTTGATAAATTCAACTTTATTGCAATTAAAATGTTTTGCTCATTTAAAAACACCATCACATAGGCAAGTAGGGAAGACACAGGTGGTTGAAAAGCTGACATACATTTGACAACTCCCACAACTTAATCCTGAACATACAGCACAATAAAACTGGGCAAAATACTTAACTTCAAAAAAGAAGCTATATGCATAACAAATAAACACATTAAATTGCAATCAGTATGATTTGACATCCCAAAATAAAACGACATCTACCACAAATGGTAAAAGAAAACACTGAAGCCAATTAAGTCGGCCATATTTCTCCTTATGGAGGCCAGTATGCAAAGGGTGCAAACAGCAAGCCTCCTCGGTAGTGCATGCAGCCTGTCGGCATGTATAGGCTGCCCTAAAGGACCTTGGAGACAACCTTTTGCTGCTTTTCGATGGCTCTGGCCTGGCTAATTTCTGCTCCTCTTAACCTGGGATCCAAACTGGGATGCGAGGTGCTTTTGGGAAACCCCAAGGCACAGTAGCTAGAGTCCACATTGGCCAGGTCATCATGTCTATACACACTAAGCTACAAAACAAGGAGCATGTGACTGTGGCCTTACACAGGGCCAAGTTCAAGTTCCCACATCTCCAAGAAGCAGGGCTTCACCAAGCTTACGACGGATGAGTTTGAAAACATGGTGGCTGAGAAGCACATCATTCTGGATGGCTGTGGGGTCAAATACATCCCTAACCGTGTCCCCTTGGACAAGTGGTGGACCCTGCACTCATGAACGCTTTGGTAGCCCTGTTCCCTGTCTCACCTGTGCCCACCAAATAAATTGAACTTCCTGAAAAACAACAACAAAAGAAAACAGGAAATATTAAGTGGTGGTAAGAATGTAGATCAGCTAAAACTTTCATACATTGTGGGTCACTGGGGAAAACAATTTGAAATTTAAAAATTAAAATTAAAGAACCATGCAGTCTATGACCTAACAATTCCCCTCCTGCATATTTACCCAAGAGAAAGGACAACATATTTATCCAAGAGAAAGGAGAATATATTTTTACCATAAGGGCTGTACATGCATGTTATAGTAGTATTATTAATAATAGTGCCAAAGGGAAATGACCAAAATATCCATCAATAGGACAATGAAAGAAATAAGGTATTATGCAGACATATGATAGAATACTACTCCCAAATAAAAAAAGAAGCTATTGATCTATGCAATAATACTGATGAATCCCAATAGTGTTATGTTGAAGAAATCAGATACCAAAAATAGCTCACGCATGATTTTCCATTCTAGAATAGGCAAAACTAACATTCAGTAGTTGATATCAGAATATTAGCTACATGTAGGTGGAGAAATATTGACTAGAAAGGGTCATATTGGAACTTTCTGGGATGAGAGAAATGTTCCATATCTTGATTAGAACTGTGCTTGAGCAGGTATATACATTTGTCAGAACTCATCAAACTGTACACCTAAAATCTCTGATTTATATAAACTTATCATTGGTCTCATCTGACCTTTTACATTTACAATAGTGAAAAAATATACTATGTTGCACACTAACTACACATATTACAGTAACAAACACCAGTGTGTGAGACAAGATTTAAGACTGGTTGTGATGGATAAGGGTCATATTGGCTGGGACATGATTCTCTTTTCAGCAGTTAAATAAAAACATGATTTGGCAGCTATGTAATGACACAGTTTGGCAGTTTTGTAATGATGCAGTTATTTTCTGATCGGATGTGGTCATGGCCATTTTGCCTAACATCAATTTTCACTTAATGACCAGGTCTTTGGAACCTAATCATGAGGAGTTAGTATATTTTATAAAAATTATATTTCATTTAAAAAATACATCGTTTAGTTTTGTAATATACCACTTCTTTAGAACATAAATAAATATTTACAAAAGGACTCTTTCTCCTACTGCTGTTCCCTAGTTTCCCCGTGTCCTTCCCTAAGGCAATTATTATCAGTCCCTTCAAGAGATATTCTATACATATACAACTGGTAATAACCATATGCACCTTTCTGTCCCTTGCTTCTCCCCCTCCCACATTTAATAATATAACATATATGTAGAATATCTTTCCATATATTGTTGTTAGGTACCATCAAGTCAGTTCTGACTCACAGTGACCCTACTATGTACAACAGAGTGAAACACTGCCCAGTCCTGCCCCTTTAAATAGATCTTTATAAAAAAACAAACTCATTACTATTGAGTCAATTCTGAATCATAGCAATCCTATAAGAAAGGGTATAATTGCCTCTTTGGGTTTCTGAGACTATAACTCTTGTAGGAAGCCTCATCTTTCTCCAATATAGCGGCTGGATATTTTGAACTGCTGATGTTACAGTTAGCAGTCCAATGTGTAAGCCAATTACATCACCAAGGCTCTTCATAGATCTCTACACTACTACTAATCATTGTTACCGAGTTGATTAGGATAGGGTAGAGCTACCCCTGTGGGTTTCTGAGATGTTACTCTTTATAGAAGTAGAAAGCCTGGTCTTTCTTTTATGGAGCCTCTTATCATTTTGAACTGCTGACCTTGTGGTTAGCAGCCCAACTTATAACCATTATGCCACCAGGACACTTTTATAGATCTATATAGATTGGCATAATTCTTTATTATAACAGCATGTATTTCCTTCTGTAAGAGATGTACAGCTTTTCAGTCAGTTCATTTAAAGGGGACCTCATTAGGTAGATCATACAAATTTTTTGTTGTTCAAATTTAAAAAACAAAGCTACCTGATAAATGATATAATAGGACTGCCTTATTCTATCCCAGATCTTGTGATCGAAATAGGATTTCTGGGTACAAATAGAACAGATAGAATATTCATATATAAGAATTATTATATGGTATGAATGATTATACTACATTAGACAAGCATTGGTCTTTTCATGGGACCTTGTCTCCCAGCCTATTCAGACATATGGGCTCCACTTCAATGAGCTTTTCCAGTTGACACCAGCTCTTCTTCCAGCGAGGACTATTTCCTTATTCCATTTCTGGTTGGCCAACTTGCCTCTTTAATTCCTGAGCTGGGACGAACTCCCTGATCACTGTCTTTATGGCATGTCCCATCTTTGGATTGGACTGTATTTTATGAGGGCTATACCTTGAAGTAGTCACTTTGAAATGAGGGGGAAAAAAAAAAACATGGGAAAAGCTCTGCTGGGCAAGGCTTTCATAGTACAAATTTTTCCCAATAGGTGAGCATTGAGTTATTGTACCCTGTGGCATCGCCTGGAAAGGTTCGCTCTGGTCACAGTGAATTTTTTTGTAACAGCAGTTTCACTTGAACCTTGTTTCTACGATGTCCAATTTAAGAGAACAGTGTGTTGCTGTGAAGTTCTGCTTCCTGTTAGAAAAAAAGTGACGCAGAAACTGTTGTGATATTGAACACAGATTACAAGGACAGCACAATAGGAAAAACTCCAGTGTATGACTGAGTGGTTTTCTCATTTCGAAAAAGATGAAATGTTGATTGATGAGAAAACTCATTCTGGACGCCCGTAAAATAAAATGTCAACAAAATCTGTGCACTTGTGCGTGAAGACTGATGGCGGAAGACTGATGGAGGACCATCAAAGAGATGGGGAAGTTATCTGGACTATCTTGTAGCTCAGTTCAGCAAATTTTAAGGGATGATTAGGGAATGAAAAGGATTGCTGTGAAATATGTGCTTCAGGTTCTCACTATCCAGGAAAAGGAGCATCCAGTGGAAACATGCCATGCATTGAAAGAAAGATCTGAAGCAACCCAGACTTTTTCTCCCCAAGGTCATTACTGGTGATAGACATGGTGCTATTCTTAGGAACCCGAAAGCAAACAGCAATCAAGCCAGTGAAAAATGCCAACATCACCTCTCCCCAAATAAGGTCATTAAGTGAAACCAAACATAAAGATTATGCTCATTTGTTTTTTTGATGAGGGGTATAGTGCATTTGGAGCTTCTTCTATCATGTTAGACTGTCAATCAAGATTTCTATTTAGAGGTTCTGAAAAGATTGTATAAGAGGGTGTGACAAAAAAGGCCTGTTTTGTGGAAGACGGGGACCTGATTTTGCTCCATGACAATGCACCTGCTCACACAGCCATCTCAGTGCACCAGTTTTTGGCAAAAAAACAGCATGCCTCTCTTGCTCCGTGCACATTACTCACTTTACTTTGCTCCATGTGACTTCTTTTAATTCCACAAATGAAGAGGGATGTGAAAGGAAAGCAATTGGATGATGTAGAAGAGGTGAAGAAAAAAAGAGGGAGGTGCTGTTAGCCATCCAAACAGTTTAGTTTGAAAAATGTTTCCAATAATAAAAACCAGTAGCAAACTCATAGACTTTGCCAACAGACTTGATGAGGTAGAGAATCACCCCAGTGATCTAGAGGATAACCAGGCAGACTTCAACAAAGGAGTAAGGCAGTCCAAATACGATAATCAGAGAAACTGAAGAAAATTTGAGAGCCATGTCTAATGCTATAAAAAGGAACAAGGTTAGGATAATTGGACTACCTGAACAAGACACAATGAGGAAATCAATGGCAAAAATAGCGAGGGACCTCTTAGAGGAAAACTTCCCCACCTTAATGAATGAAAACCAGGCAACCATTCAAGAGGCCGAGAACACCATCTTGACTTAATTCCAATAAGTCACCAAGGCACACAATAGTTAAACGATTCAACTTTGAGGAAAAGAAGAAAATAATGCGAGCAGCTAGGGAAAAACAAGCAACAATCTATAAAGGTACCCAAATAAGAACTGGCTCAGACCTATCAGTGGACATTATGAAGAAGAGGAGAGAGTGGAGTAACATATTGGAAACATTGAAAGAAAATAACGCAAACCCAAGGAAACTCTATCCAGTCAAATAATCTATCAAGATAGATGGAGAAGTAAGAGTTTTCCTAGACAAGGAAAAACTCAAATAATACTTTAAGAGAAACCCATCCCTATAAAATATCCTTGCTGACCCACTATGGGCAGAAGAATAGCACTCACCAAGCGCAAATAAGAGACAGCCACATAGAATAACCCCACCCAGAGGGCAACGGAGAGAAAACAGGCCCCAGGAAAGCATTGGATCAAGAGTGGAAAGAAGGCAAGAATGAAACACACACATCTATGCACAACACACTGATAAGAAAGGGAGGTAGGAAACACCAAACACAAAAAGGTACAAGACGACATCACAGAGTCCATAGAAGGATGTAATAACTCTGAATACCAATGGACTGAACTCAGGCATTAAAAGGTTGAGGCTAGCAGACTGGCTTAGAAAACACAACACGTCGATCTGCTGCCCATAGGAGACATATCTCAATATTAAAGAAAAAAATAGGCTGAGAATCAAAGGTTGGACAAAAATATACCATGACAATGGCAATTCCAAAAAAAG